TCACGATGGTGTAAGTGAGCTTCCATTGACCGAAGTCAAATGGCCACCACGGTGTGGCAAAGACCTCTCCGTGATGCGGTGTGCAACAGATATGAAAGCTGTTAAGCCTTTATTCTCGTCATTTAACACCCCGAAGCCATTTAGAGCTAAGCTCTGGCGATTTTGAGGACGAAAGTCGATCAAGAGGCAAAAAAGGGTGTTTATGGCTTGGATTGAAGGTGGAAAATTCATGAGGTAATCATCTTCTCCATAATTAAGATGGTTAGGGCTTAATGGTGTTTTGTTGAATTGAGTTAGTTATGTTGGATTGTGTCAAGAGAGTTTATTAGTAATGTTTAATTAAGTGTTGAAAAGTTATGGACAAGTTCTATATGTGATTTCCAATGTGAAATCTATGAAGAGAAGTTAGGGTTTGAAACCCCTAACTAGTGATTATGGAAAATTGATACATTAGAGATTAGATTATAATTAATTAGGTATTATAGGGTACTTAAATCAATGATTGGATTGAATTTAGAAGTAGAGAATAAAATTTTAGAATTATGATCAATTAAGTGATCATTTTGACATTAAGAAGTAGATAAACTCTTAATTGCCAAAGACAAGTATTAAGAACTTGTTTATATGTATGAATAGGCCTATGAGCAAGAAGATGGATCAAGAATGCATCAATTGAAGAAAAGAGCGAAGAAGGGTTATTAGTCTTCACTAACTTATATATATATATATATATATATATATATATATATATATATATATATATATATGTATATATATATATATGTGTGTGTGTGTGTGTTTGTGTGTGTGTATGTGCGTGTATGTGAGAATCATGTATCTAAGCATGAAAAAGAGAAATAAAGAAGAGGATTATATGTACTATAATCCTATGTAAGATTATGTACTTGTAGTTATACACTTCAGATCATGTATCTGAGCATGTGTGTATAACCAAAGTATGTAGAGATGTATTGAGAAAGAACAAGGGTATTATTAGTAATGCCCTTGAGAGTAGAAAAATAAAGAATGTGATTATATGTTTTATAATCCTATGTATGAGTATATGATGAGAAAAGGTATATGTGGGTACCTAAGAGATTGTAGATAGTGACAGTGAATGATTATATGTAGTACAATCATAAGTGTACGTATCTATGTCTAGACTTGTATGGTATTGTGTAGAATACTTATATGTTAATAAACATAGATAAAGATTAAGTACTTAATGAGTTAAGTACTAGATGTGTAGTGGAAGATCTCTTAATGAAATAAAGAGATAGATTGTCCATAGGACAAATATTTTGTGATGAGTCACATACTAGAGATAGAGATGTTGGATAGATGATTCCTTCGAAATAAAATAGAGGTTCCTCCGGGGACAAGAGTTTGATTCCTTTGGGAATAAGATTATATCTCTGCGGGGAAAAGAAATGACGATCCTGTGACATCCCCATTTTTACAGTCATTTTAAATTTTTTTATTTATGCTTATTTAAAACAGAGTTTATTTATAAATGAGAAATTTGGTCTCGTAAAAGTATTTCCGAAGAAATGTTTTTCATTGATTATAAAAAAAAATTTGTATCTCACAACAGACCTTACAATATCATAGACTAACAACCTACATCTCCTTAAATCTCTAATCACTCATGTACCTTTGTACCGCTACCTGTGATACAAAGAAACTGAGTGGGTCAGGTTGGAAAACCTGGTGAGTACATAGAGTTTTCAACCCACAAAATATAATTAGTATGTTTAATTATCTATCAAAAAATTAAACCAATTACACATCCCCATTTTCTTTTATATATATTTCTTAGAGCCTCCCCTGAGGATTATCACCTACGTCGCATTTTCTTATATAATCATCGCTAAGGACTTCTCCTAATGTTCATCACATTTTATATTTTCATCGTTAAGGACTTCTCCTATTGTTCATCGCCTATCATCACATTGACAGTACTACTTCGGGTATACCTTCGCAATACATGTCGGTAGAGTACATCGCATGAATACACGGTTCGTACATCGCCTGAACTCGTAATTCATCACCTACAAGTTGCAATCCTGCTGGTGTTCCGTTGGACTGTCTAGATTAGTCTATGGTCGTCATCTATACTCTGGTAGATGACTACATCACAATCATCGCAAACATCGCAAGTAAGGTTCAGGGCATCTCCTAATCATTTTTTCATCTTTCATCTCCCATCTCTCATTGCCCATCAATACCCAATATATATATATATATATATATATATATATATATATATATATATATATATATATATATATATATGAAAATACTTATATAATTAAATCGAGTAAAATCATGTCATATAAGTTCATCCAACAAATAATGCAGATAATAGGCACACATAACATTTAATTATCTAAATACTTCATATTTATATGTAATATGAAAGTACCTATGCACTCGCTTGATAAAAGTGGATACCAAAGGGTTTTTGGCCCAACGGTATCCGGTGTTGCTCTTTCTCCTTGAGGTTGAGGGTTCAAGTCCCGTCGTGGACATAGGTGGATTTAAGGTGTGTTTAGGAGTAGGTTAGATTTGTCGTTTCAAAAAAAAAAGATAAAAGTGGATGCCTCGGGATTGGGGCAGAACTTTGCCTTGGTACTTTAGCTTTTCCTATGACATGACCTAGGTTCATACTACTAAGTCTTAGTCTTATATTCCTGACGACTAATGATAGTCTAGATTCCTCACTAATCCCAATGTCTACATCAATATCTATCAAGTAAGGAACAACCATGTAGGATCATATCGGAGGTAGGGCCCGTTTACAGAGTATACTGTTTGGAAATCCCGCTTTAAACACCTCACTAAATTCAGCCTAGACCTTATCCCCGTAAGTAGATCAATCAATATTTTGACTTGGAATTACTGATAAATCTTATTTATAGGTTCATAATAATGACTATGAATATAAATATAAATTGCATTAAAATAATGTTTAGTGTAATTTAACTTATAGAGATTTCCTAGAAAAAAATCCAAAAATTGCACTGACAGAACTCCGACCTGCTAGCTACTAGATGTTGGGCTCTCAGGGACCTCAACGCTTCGCCAAACGCTTAAAACTAAAGAAAATTTTGACTAAAGTTGAGAGAAACTCGAGAGAATGAGTTATGGAGGTTTGCAGATCGAATGAAGGGCTGAAGCACCATTTATAGTGAAAATATATGGAGCGCCCTGCACCCTGACAAGGTGTGCGTCGCTCCCTGGCCTGGTCGTCCGTCTCAGATGTTGACACGTGTTCGACAATTGCTGGAGCAGCATGGCTGGGGGTAGGTACAACCAGAATCTTAAAAAATTGAAATATATATATCGACCATACGAACTTCGTTTTCGATGCTATCTATGTCCACACTTAGGTATTTCCGAGTACTATAACTTTCATTTAGACTCCGTCGGCTAATTCTCTGCCGATCTTAAATTTAAGAGTCTACGAAGATTACACTGTTAACAACCGTGTAAAATTCATAACTTTTACATACAAACTATGTTTTCGACTGTCTTTATATCGTTTGACTACTTATTACGAGATCTTCTTTATATTGATTCGGCTAAAAGTTAACCGATCTAAAATTTGATTTTTGTGCTAACACAGCTGCGCTAAAACTTCGAAAAATCATAATTTCCCCTTACAAAGTTAGATTTAGACGTTCTTTATATGCATGCTCTCGGTTTTACGACCACTACGACTTTCTTTTAGATCACTTAGGCTAAAAATTATTTCATCAAAAGTTCACTTTTTACGATACACAGAGTCGTGTCGGTTTAATCGCGAAACTTTGAGAAGTATAATTTCTTCGTATGAAGTCGGATTTCAACATTTTTTATATGTATGTAATCATTGTCACATATACTACAACTTTGGTTAAGATTAATGGTGGGAAAAGTAAACATCTTGAAACGTTAACCTTGTTTTTAACTTGGTGTACATATTTTTTGGCATAACATACAAGTAGTTAAAGTAGCATCTTTATGAAAAAATGTGGTTGGGCTGCGGAAATCTTTAGACAAATAAGCAATAATAAAATAACTTTTAGATAAAATATTATTTAATCAAATTTCAATATTAACCTGTACATTACGTATTAGGCATTGTACATCGAATACTATTTGTATCTTCGTGCATCAATTCCGGGAAAGCTGATTAGTTTTTTTTTTTTTTAGAGATATAGCTGTTAAAGACAGAATAAGAATACATATAGCTTTTAAATCATGCATTAAATGTTGTACATTTCTTTTATTTGAAATAATTTGATGTGATAATTTTCCTAATTCCAGAGCAGTAATAGTTATATCCAGGATAAGATTGAGTTGGTGTCATCTACTGGTACTATATGCAGCAAAATGTGTACCTGAGTTCTCTTTTTCGAGATGATTTTCTTTTTCACTCCAATAAGTACTGGAATCAAAGTAGAAACGGTGTGAAAGCTTGTACAACATGCATTACATATTGTACATAAATCTGTATTTTGAAATATTAGGTCCGAGAAAGAGATATCAATCCCCAACTACTATATAAAGGGCCATCAACTCTCATGCAATTCTCGCCCATTTCACATTCGTGAATCGTTCTGTAAACAGTAAACACATTAGGTTTAATTGTCGCCGTTAGGTTTCCGGACGCCGCTCCGTTTGTTTTGTCGGGGTTTGGGTTTTGAGATTCTGATTTTGCATGGTGGGATCAGTGTTTAATTTCTAGATTTGTTTCGGTGTTTGATTTGATAACTCGAGTGTTCATTTTGGATAAATTTCTGAGCGGCAGTTGTGGGGATTTTTGTATTGATTAGGAGTTTAGGGTTTGTTTCTCCTTTGATTCAGATCTTCATCTGCTTCTTTTGAGGGGGTAGCCGGGGCTCCGGCCTCGGCGGGTTGTAAAGCCCCCCTAACTTTACAAACTTAGCCAAATTAAATACTTTGAATTCTTTGATTCTTTCCTTCTAACCATCGATTAACAGATCGGGGAAGAGATGCCGACCCTAGCGTGTTGCGTTGACGCTTCTCCCCCGTTTCCTCCCGGTTACATTGCCTGGGATGGTTCTTTTCCCGCGCCGGAGCCTTTTTCCGGCGTACCTCATTCGAGAAACACCGTTCTACCTGATCTATCATCCGCCGCTCATTGGTCACCGAATCACTCCGCTGCTCTCTACAGAATTAATGGATGGGGTGCGCCTTACTTCTCTGTTAACTCCTCCGGCAATGTCACCGTCCGTCCGCATGGTTCCGGAACCATGGACCATCAGGAGATTGATCTCCTGAAGGTTGTGAAGAAGGCGTCTGACCCGAAATCGACCGGAGGCCTTGACCTGCCGCTTCCGCTCATCATCCGGTTCCCGGACGTTCTCAAGAACCGCCTGGAGTCGATCCAGTCAGCTTTCAGTTACGCCATCGAGTCGCAAGGATACGGCTCGCATTACCAGGGAGTTTATCCCGTGAAATGCAATCAGGACCGGTTCGTCGTCGAGGACATTGTGAAATTCGGTTCCTCTTTTAGGTTCGGATTGGAGGCCGGATCCAAACCAGAGCTTCTTCTAGCCATGAGCTGTCTCTGCAAAGGAAGTTCTGAATCTCTCCTGATTTGCAACGGTTTCAAAGATGCAGAATACATCTCACTTGCTTTGATCGCTCGAAAGCTTTCGTTGAATACTGTGATTGTTCTCGAGCAAGAAGAGGAGCTGGATTCAGTTATTGATATGAGCCGAAAACTTGGTGTTCTTCCCGTTGTAGGAGTCCGTGCTAAGCTCCGTACGAAGCATTCAGGCCATTTTGGATCGACTTCCGGCGAAAAAGGTAAGTTTGGTCTTACAACGACGCAAATTCTCCGTGTTGTGAAGAAGCTTGAAAAATGTGGTATGTTAGACTGCCTGCAATTGCTCCATTTCCATATCGGATCTCAGATCCCTTCCACCGACTTACTGGCCGATGGCGTTGGTGAGGCGGCGCAAATTTACAGTGAATTAGTCCGCTTTGGTGCATCCATGAAAGTCATCGACATAGGCGGTGGACTAGGCATTGATTACGATGGTTCAAAATCAACCGACTCTGATGTCTCCGTGGGTTACACTCTTGAAGAGTACGCCGCCGCGGTTGTTCAGGCGGTGAAGTTTGTTTGTGATCGGAAATCCGTGAAGCATCCGGTGATTTGTAGCGAAAGCGGACGAGCCATCGTGTCCCACCATTCAATCCTCATATTCGAAGCGGTTCTTCCAGCAAATACACCGTGCCAACTTTGTCTTCCACTGACGTTAAGCAGTTCGGCGAAAGCCTCCCTGAGGAAGCTCAATCCGATTATGATAATCTTTCACAGTCCGCCATCAGAGGCGAGTATGAAGCTTGTCTGGTGTATGCTGATCAGCTGAAGCAAAGATGCATTGAGAAATTCAAAGATGGAACTCTTGACATGGAGCAGTTGGCCTCCGTTGATGGGTTATGCGATCTGGTGGCGAAAACAATCAGAGCATCGGATTCGGTGACCACTTATCATATCAATCTCTCCGTGTTCACTTCAATTCCTGATTTCTGGGGCTTCGGCCAGTTGTTCCCAATCATCCCGATTCACAGGCTGGAAGAATTTCCAAACAAGAAGGGAGTTCTGTCGGATTTAACCTGCGACAGCGAAGGGAAGATCAACAAGTTCATCGGCGGAGAATCAAGCTTACCTCTCCATGAACTGGAAGGTGAGAATTCCATGAAATACTATCTAGGAATGTTCTTAGGTGGTGCATACGAAGAAGCTCTGGGAGGTCTCCACAACCTGTTCGGCGGACCTTCAGTGATCCGAGTATCTCAAATCGACGGCCCACATGGGTTTGCCGTGACCCGGGCTGTTCCGGGCCCATCTTGCAGTGACGTCCTCCGGGCCATGAACCATGAGCCGGAGGTGATGTTTGAGACTCTTAAGCACAGAATCGAGGAGTATGTTGATGATGAAGGTGGCATGGCTGGAGCTTTAATCGCGGGTGGAATTGCAGAATCTTTCCATAACATGCCTTATTTGAGTGTCGGATCTTCTTGCTGTTTAACCGCTGCAAATGGGATTAACGAGTATTACTACTCCGGCGAGGGGTTCACTCTCACTGCCGGAGGTGATGTAGTCTCCGGCGAGGATGACCATGATCAGTGATCGTTCGTTTGTGCTTGAAAAAGAGAAGAAGGAATAAAGGGTTTGGTTGTTTATCGTTGAGGTCGTTCTGTTTTTAATTCGCTAATCAGTTCTCTCTTTTTTTACTTGTATTTCATAAAAAGAGAGAGTTTGTCTTTTTCGTAAATTTGGATGAAGATGAGAGGGTAGTGTGAATTCAGTGTACATTCCCTCCCTCTTTCATAATATTATCATCTTAGACTTTAATTTAGTTTTGAAATCTTGCCTTGTGGTTGATGCATATACATATTTTTCAATCTTGTTTTTGGTTGATGCTTGCAGAAAACATAGATTGCATGTTTGATTTGTTACAAGTTAGAAACAATGACAATTTATGAGTGGGCATTTATGTCTTTTTACATTTGATGAGAGTTTGAAAGCTAACATTTCAATCAATCTACTATGTATGCGTTTCTTGTTGATGATTTGATTATGACGATACTATCTTTATCTCGAACGCTTATCTTAAGATTATAGAATAAATCGCAAAATGTCCCTATCCTAAAATCGTAAAGATGATGCCAAACTTGTGAATTCTCACATTCTTGGAGTATCCACAAAAGGAATTGAGCTTTTTTTGTGTGCCACATAACCACCAACTCAACAAGCCCCAAACTTCAAATGATCTAGTTTATTTTTAGGTCTTACATAAAGTGAAGAAACTATCTAATTGAAGAAATTTTGTTTTAATTCTGAAAAAGATTAATAAATAGAGCTTATAAATTTGTACACGAGTTGGAAAAGTTTAGTTGATCCAAAATGCTCCTCACAAAAACTTTCTACACGTGTCCTTTGTATAACAAGATTTAAGTTTAGCATCACCTTAACTTAACAATAAGGATAGGTATGGTGTCAATCTTTTCATCAAGTTAGCGTTCAAGTTATTCGTTTGCATTATACTATTACTGTTATGAACGTGTGTCACATATCGGAATTGATTTGAACTACGAAATGTACATAGATATCAACTAAAATATGGAATTCAAAGTAACAAAAGTTTTACAATTATACGAGATCAAGATATCAACTTATCAGATAAGAAATGAAGAATGAGAGAAAGATGAATTCTTGTTATTCTTCAATATTTGATTACAAGGAAGTTTATATACAAACTTACAATACGCATATATTGCTATCATACTCATGCTGTTGCTAACAGCTTAGACATTAACCCACATAACTGACTGAACAAACTAAATTACAATAATACCCCCAATATCCCCCCTCAAGATGACCGTGAAAAAATTGTTTTCAAGGCCATCTTGGACATTAAAGGCAACAATTTAGCACGTGGTAATGGTTTGGTGAAGATGTCTGCAAGCTGAAATTGAGTTCTTATTGGAAGAAGCTTAATGGTTTGATCAATGATTTTGTCCCGTATAAAATGGCAATCGATCTCCACGTGTTTAGTTCTTTCGTGAAAAGTAGGATTAGAAGCTAATTGAATAGCTGATTCATTATCGCAAAAGATGAGATTTGGTCCATGTTGCTTCACACCGAAATCACTTAATAAATGTCTTAACCACATGAGTTCACAAGTAACAGCAGCAATAGCTCTATATTCTGCCTCTGTAGATGATCGAGCTACCGTATTCTGCTTTTTAGATCGCCAAGAAATGAGAGAATCGCCTATAAAAACACAAAAGCCTGTAACAGATCGTCTTGTAGCTTTGCATCCAGCCCAATCAGCATCGCTAAAAGCTCTTAATTGAAGAGAATTAGTTGCTGAAAGAAACAGTCCTTGGCCAGGATTGGACTTCAAATATCTAAGAATATGTGTGGCAGCATGCATATGATGAGTTCTTGGTTGATTAAGATATTGACTTAAACGATGGACAGCATATGTGATGTCTGGCCTTGTGATGGTCAAATACAACAAGCGACCAATAACTCTCCTGTATTAAAACACATCTTGTATAAATTCACCTTCAAAGTTAGACAATTTGTATTTTGGATCCATAGGCTGTTGTGTGGGCTTTGCTGCCAAGAGTCCTATATCTTCAAGAAGCTTTAAAGTATATTGTCTCTGAGATATAAAAATGCCAGAATACCCCTGAGGCAATGTCATATAAACTTCTTCCTCTAAATCTCCATTTAAAAAAGCATTATTCACATCTAGTTGAATAAGAGGCCAATTGTGTTTAGCAGCCAAAGCAAGAAGTAATTTCACTGTGACAAGTTTAGCAACAGGTGAATAATTATCTAAAAAATCCACTCCTTCTTGTTGATTGAATCCCTTTGCAACTAAACGCGCTTTAAATCTATCCACAGTTCCATCATCTTTTCTTTTGATCTTATATACCCATTTACACCCCAATGGTTTTCTATCTTTTGGAAGGGGAACAACTACCCAAGTGTTATTTAATTCCAGGGCTTGTAACTCATCATTCATAGCTCGTTGCCATTCAACAGATTTTATAGCTTCATTATAATTTTTGGGTTCTTCTTGAGCAGACAAAGATATAGTGTAAGCCTTACAATTGGTACCAAGATTATCATAAGAGATAACTTCAGATAGAGGATATCTACAAGAACTTGAATCAAAAGTATAATTAACTTTTGTGAGATTGCAATGATAATCTTGTAGATATGATGGTTTGTTCCTAATTCTTTGTGTTCTGTGAGAATGAGCTTGTGATAAATCTGGAACATTGGGTAAGGGTATATTTGGAATATCAAGATCTGGAATAGAACTTGGAATGGGATCATTAGGAACAGGAGTTGAATTTGGAATTGAAGAGTGTTGTGAAGTCTGATTTTGAGTTTCATGATCATAATCAAATACTCTTGGTAAAACAACTAGAGAAAAAGGGTCATCAAAAAAGGGATGGTTTGTATTTATGAAAGGAAAAACGTTTTCATGAAATACAACATCTCTGGATACAAAAACTTCTCTTGTTGTCAAATCAAGTAACTTGTATGCTTTCATACCAGGTGGGTAGCCTATGAAAATCAAGTAACTTGTATGATACCATATCAACTTATAAGAGAAGAAATGAAGAATGAGAGAAAGATGAATTCTTGTTATTCTTCAATATTGATTACAAGGAAGTTTATATACAAACTTACAATACGCATATATTGCTATCATACTCATGCTGTTGCTAACAGCTTAGACATTAACCCACATAACTGACTGAACAAGCTAAATTACAATAATACCCCCAATAAGATGTTTTATTAATCTCAACTGATTTTTTTCTTGATTTGTCATGCATAGTTTACTTTGGAATGATAAATATTATATATAAATTGATGACCAGTGATTTGGATTGTAGTCATAATTTATCGCTATCTTCAAACACTAAACTAGTGAAACGCTCCAATTTGTGAACAATATTACACGTCATTTGTTGCATGATTGCAACCCTTGAGTTTACTTGGTGAATGGACATCTCTCGTTCTCTTTTTAACTAGTTGTCAACTATCGAACAATTAACTTTCTCTGCTTAAATCACTTGTAAATGGTGCATCTAGAGAGGCATAATTAATGGAGAATCTAGATTATGGCAAAAAGGGTTTCAAATTGTGTAAAGTTTGTGAGCCAGTGAGGAATTGGTGTCTTTTTGTTCATGATTTTCTTGTGGTGGCCTGTTGAAGCTTTAGAATCTTGTTATAGAATGGGAATTTTTGTGATATTGAGTTGCATATTTGGTGGTCACACTATGGATTCTTAGGTTTCTTTATACATATCTAGTGGAAATTTGTGTGAAATCTGGCAACTTTTGTTGTTTTAGGTTAAACTAGACAAAAATGGACAATGTGAGATGAGAGGAGACTAGACATGGATATTTTCGATGATGTAAATGAGTAGTGTACTTACATCTTTCATACAGACGAAAAATCAAGAGTCAATCTTAGTCTACCTAAATTTGTTATTTTATCTAGAATATATAGTTCAGAAGACTTTCTATATTTGCCAATGGTTATAGTTTCGGATTCATTACGAAAAATCTTGTCTTCTTTTTATCATAGAGACACAATATTGGTACAAGGATAAGATCGAATATAAACTTCGAAAAAGGAACCCTACTTTTCTATTGATACTATGGTTCTACATGATCTTAACACACAATGACACAATGGACAAATATCATGTATACAACAAGTGTGATTATACGTAGCATTTATTTGGTTTAGAAATGATTATTCTTTGTAAATTATAATGTTTTGCTCAAACGATGTTTCACTTTCAACAAAAAGTGAAATGAGATATATGCCTTAAAAATTATTCCTTTCGTTTGGTGTATAGAAAATTTCCAATAAGAGAAAGTGGAGATTTTGGAAATACGTATTCAATTGGAAGTTAGTGAATCATTAAAGAATGCGTTACTTACTCCTTTGATCATGACCAATCACATTCATTATATATCATGTGTTTTCGCATCTTGTATAATTGTTTTGTTCTCACGTTTCATTGAAAATCATGTGTTTTATGTGCTTCTTGTATATATTGATCTTCCGGTGTAATAATCTTTTAACAACTATAAAATAAAATACTAGTTTTTTAGGGAATAATGCCTCAACACGTCAAGAAACATGATACCTAAATATATGTCACAATCGTAAGGTCAATAGATGTAGACACATAGTAAAGGTTAAAAACATAGGGAATAATACCTAAACTACCAAATATTTCTTATTCACTTTACATCAAAAATGGATCAACATCCGAAATCCTAAACACTTCATACATCCCAAAAAAAACATCCACTTTCGATTCACGCACCAGTTCATACATACTTAACACAATTCATCGCCAATACCTACACTTCGTATCACCATCGAGAGGGTTAATGGACATGCAACAATCCTCACATATTCAACAATAGGTATTTATTGGAAAATTAGTTTTACTAATTTTCAAAAATGGATTTTTCCCACTTTGAGCATGAATTTTGGACTCTAAATATAATCAAAACTGATTAATGATTATATATTCATGTTGACCAAAACGGATTCAAAATGAATGAGAAATTACT